TGCAGCACAAATCCAAACCACTGCCCCATACCAGCTACCATGAAGAAAACCGCCCCACCTAAAACGAGCACACCAAGATAGGGTACCAGATAGCAGTGCCTAGATAGGTTCTAGATGACGTTGCAGGAGCAAGGTCCACCAGCGATGTGCTGTGTTGTGCTTGCTATCCTTGTTGTGAAGATACTACTTGAGTGCAATCATGTTTTCCATTATTTTCACCAGTTATGATTTTTTTCTAATGTAAATGAAGGAATTGGAAATACTGCCTGAAGGAAAGCTTCGTGTGGAAAACATCTTTGTTACTCAGCTTCTGCTAGAAGAGTAAGGAGAAACTTTGCTAGAGGATTTGCGTTGAAGAACGCTTCTGAAGAAGAAGACAAGCTCTAAGAAAAACATAGCTTATTTTTTCCACAGCGTGCTCAATATCCAAGAAGAAGAATGAGTAACAAACACAAAAGCAAAAGAAAAAGGAAAGTAAGTTTTGAAATGATGGAGTGATTTGCAGGGGTCTAGGTGAAAAGTGCCGTGTATTTGGGGAGGAGCAGCTGGTGAGTATAGACACGTTGTGGGAGGGAACAAAGAAGAAATCTCTGTTGTATGAGGAAGATTGAAAACATTGCCATCTTTTAAACTGAGAAGTAGGAGGTTTAAGATTATTAGAAATGTTTCTAACATGGTTTATGGAAAAATAAATACATAGACATGAAAGATCACATATTGGGAGAGGTGGGGAGAGAAAGAAATATGTTGTTGCATGATAGCAGTCCAAACTTAGCAGTTAAAATATTCATGTATCTGTAAGGTCTTGTTCATAACCCAGTCCAGCAGCACTTACTAGATTTGGAAAAGTGTTTGCATCCTCTGGGGTATTTATCATAGAATCCTAGAATGCTTTGGGTTGGATGGGACCTTTAAAGATCAGCTTCTTCCAACCTCCCTGCCATGGTCTCGCTAACCTTATCCTAAAACCTCTCTTCCTTATATCCAGTTGAAATCTCCCCTCTTTCAGTTTAAAATCATTGCCCCTTGTCCTGACAATGCAGGCCTTGGTAAAAAGCCTCTGTCTTTCTTAAAAGCTCCCGTTATATATTGAAAGTAAGGTCTCCCCAGAGCCTTTTCTTCTCCAGTCTGAACCCCAGCTCTTCAGAAGAGAGCTTTCATCCCTCTAATTTCTGTGGCCCTTCTCACGTCCTGCTTTAACAGGGCCATGTCTGTCTTCTGCTGGTCCCTCAAAGCTGAATGTGGTACTCCGTGTGGGAGCTCATGAGAGCAGAGGGGCAGAGTCACCTCCCTCAAGCTGCTGGCCCCACACTCCCTGTGATGGAGCACAGGATAAGGTTGGCTTTCTGGGCTCCAAGTACACGTTGCCCACTCATGTCCGATTCTTCATCCATCAGTACCACCACCACATCCTTCTCCACAGGGCTGTTCTTGATCCATTCCTGAGCCTGCACTGATACTGGGAATTGCCCCAGCCCATGTCCAGGACCTTGCACTTGGGCTTTTTGAACTTCATGAGGTTTCCTCCGTCCATTTATTTCTATACGTAATGTATTTGTTGTATCTGATAGTAATTTTGGTGGAAAGAAGGCAATATTGAGTCCAATTGAAAGACTTATGGAGTAGAACTTTCCTCTGAGGAATGTAGTTGTTACAGATACTAGCACCTTCTTTGTGTGTTACCCAACACAGGGACAGAGCAATGCACGTGCAAATGCATAGAAGGAAGTCAAAAATAGGTTCTTCAGGTTCTGTGAGCTCTTACTCCACCTAACAGTTGTCCTTTTCCTCTTTGTGGCCAGCTTGTGATATTTGTAGAGGTGTAGCATCAACACAGGGCTCACGTTCCATTTGAGAAATAGGAGAACACCATCCTGTTTCTTTAATCTGCTGCCTTGGTTTCAAAGTGAATGGCCAGGAAGTGTCCCTGTACCCGTTGCACTGGAATGCAGGAGTGTACTTTATTTTCCCTTCTGTGAGGCACACTCTGTCACTGTTCATTTTCTAGCAGGTCGCAGACTTAGAACTTGGTCTTAAAGTTAAAACTTAAAGCTTTGCTGGAGGCTGCACACTTCAGGTTACCCTTTTGCAGCTGTAAGAGGTTGGGTGTCTGCTTCTATTTGACTTGGCATTAGAACTAATGTGCAAGTGCCTTTAGTTTGGTTAAGCAATCTTAAACTCGTTGATCCTAAAATGGAATAAGCAGTAGCAATAGCTTCTGCAACTTGGCTTTCTACTGTGAAAGATCATCAGCAATGAAAACCTTTCACAGCTGGGCTAGAAGAAATGTAACTCATGTAATGCCATCACTGTGAAGTTTGCAAGCGTAATGGTAGTTAGGTTTGGGGGGGTTAAAATCTAAATTTAAGAAAAAATTAAATCAAATGATTATAATAAAAAGTGAGCCAGCTTCTAAGAAAAGCTTTCTCAGCAGTTCAGGCTGAATTAATGAAATATAATGCAGAATACTGGACAGTTTGGGATACTGAAGGGACTCTCAGTGTAACTGATGGAGGAGAACTGCACAAAGAAATGAAATTCGGATAATGTGTGGATGAACTTCCATCTTTCTTTATAAAACAATGTGTGAAAATGTCATTCCAATGAGCCTAAAACGTGCTATTCAACTAGATACTTGATGTTTGATAAAGTTGAGTCTTAACAGTTCTGTTCTTAGTTTATCTTAACATATTATATCTTAACATATTAGTATCAGGATTTGTATGGGGGTGCTTGTATCAGCGAAGGGGTCCCTGCTCTCTTGTTCTTGCAGATGGTGTTAGGCCATGCTTGGTGGAAGGATGTCCATGATGTGCAGCATAACTCCATCTGTGGAAAATGTCTCGAGGCAGTCTCTAGGCTCTGGGCTTACCTAAAAAGTACTTCAAATAAAGAGTCATGTCTCTTTCTAGAGGTCTCTTTTTTTGGTTTTAGGGGTTTAGATACCTAAAGTAATTCCCTCGGGTTTTGAGACCTCCTGCAAATTCAAGAATAGGACAAATTCATAAACTGATCCTTCATTTTGCACGGAATTCTCTTACTGTAGCTGTTTGGCAGCTAGAAGCTCAGAATTTTATACCATCACATCTTTAAAAGACAGAAGTTAAGAAAGTCTTGCACTTTATCCACCCGTGTGTACTGAAGGTGAACGTTACGTGGCTGCAAATACTTGGCTTACGTGTTGACTTCCCATATGGACCTGCCTTTCAGCTCTTCCCCTGCCTTCCGTGTTGCTGGCTGTAGGGTGTGTCTACATGGTAATAACTGGATGAACTATGAAGAAGCATTTTACTGACTTTCACTTAGAAGAAAAGAATAATAAGCCAAGTCACTGAGTTAACTGATGCGATGGGCTGTGTTGTAGCCTGCGAGTTGCAGGTACTCAGCCCCTCTCCCTGTAAGATACACTTCAAAAGTCATTGAGGAAATGCAATCACTCGACTTCCTGCCTTTGAATTGACAAACCTAAATCTGGGTTTTGGAACAGAGTACTGAGTGGTCTGTCCAAAGCCCAGGAAGAAATCTTAAGTCTGATTGTAACTCTGTATAGGAAGCACATTGGGAACCTTCAGTTCATTATTGCTGTAAGACAATCAAAGGGTGAGCTGTTACTGAAGACAACAGTTCACTTAGTATATGATGCACAGCTTGTTGCAGTGAGAGTAGCAGAAACTTGTGGCTAGAAGAAAGCAATTACGCCTCTGGTAGTAACCTCTAAATCTAAACCTGCTGTGAAATGCATTTAAAGATGGTCCAACCCTTTGAAGTTTGGTACTTGGATCCTTTTCTGGATCCGGGAGTCCCCTGTTTGCACATAGCTTTATGAACTCATACGCAGCTCTCTTAAAGGAAGAGGGACCAGGAGAGCTGATAAGATATTATGTGTGCTCAAGTAAAGGGTGGTTGTTTCCTTGGCACACATAAGTTTCAGTGAACCAACTATTTGTAAATACAGCAAGGAACTTCACACACTTGGCCTTTACAAGCCTGCCCTGCTGACCACTGATAGGACAGCTTTTAAGTAGTACCCTTATTTCAGCTAGCACACTGGTCTGTTTTGTGTGAGTTTGGGAAACTCTGAACCTGCTTTAGTGAATTATGGCCAAGAAATGTTTCCTGCTACTGGCACCTTTTTGAGGCACATTGTCTGGCAATGCTCCCTTTCCTATCATGATTACTACTGAAGACAAGACGGTGGTTCAAGATACTGGCGTGGTACGTATTCCTCACGGCTTTGCTGATGGGCTTATTAAACTGTTGTCCTAGTTAGTGTGTTTTCATGCTGAATGATTTGGTACTTGCTCATAAACAAGATCTGAGTGATTTGCTTTTAAATTCCATTTTAAACAGCTTAGTAAGTAGATGGTTCTATTTCAGCAAGAAACTCACATGAACGTTGTTTTGTGAGATTGTGACCAGTTTTGAAGGTTATGGAACTGATCTCTGAGAATTGGGAACATTTGTAAAACCCTTTGTCACAGAAGGCAGAAATTCGGGTCCCAGCTCAGGAGGGATGTGGGTTCCCATTACGTGTATTTTGTTCAGAAGCCGTTTGAAACATGAAAGCCAAGAAGTTTAAAAACTTGCTTATCTGTAAGTGTGCGTGGATGAAATCTGGTGGTGTTCATCTTAACCACAGCTCGTTGTGTTTCCAGGTTGTCAGGTCTCAGTACCAAAAAGCGAGGTAGATGGAAAAGGTGGAAGAGATTTTGTGCAAGTGGTGTCATGTAAATGTGCATTTTGCAGTTAGTTTTCTCCAGCAGCATGGGCAGACCTGATGAAGTTCAGTTCTGTATTTTCTCTCAGTGGATTTTGGGTTTTTTCCCTTTTTCTCCCTCTGTCTTCTCTGTGCTGCTGGAGAGTCTCAGCTCTATGCTCGGTTTCTCTGGAGAGTCTGATCTCTGACCTTGCATGTCCCCTCTTCATCCCTTCAGGGGACCTGTTCTGCTCATTCTCCTCCTTTTTCTCAGCTATAGCAAACCTGTTCCTCTTTGACTAACTGATCTTCTCCGTTTTGTTGATGGGGATGCATAATTCCACAGGTAACATCCTCATGTAGAGGGTTATTCCACCAGAACCTGTGGGAAGAGTTAGCAAATCTTGAATGCTGCCTGCAGCTTTCTTCTCCTTCGTGCTTTACATTCCTGTCTGATTTAAGTTGTCCAGTGCAGTTGTGTCTTCTTTCTTCAGTGAGCTAACTGAGATCATAGTTCATACACAAGTTAGCTTCTATTAGAGTGGTTTGGGTTAGAAAGGACCTTAAGATCATCCAGTTCCAACCGCCTGTCATGGGCAGGGACACCTCACGCTAGAGATTCCTTATTAAGGATTCCTATTAAGATTCCTTAAAGGAATCCCTTTGTATTTCTTCTCAGTTTCTGCATCTTTTTCTTGGCCAAGATGCTTTTAGAAGTATTTTTACAGCCATATGATTCTTGAGGTAAACAATTTTAATGTGCTTCCTATCTCTGTGGCTGTGGTGACTTGATATTTGTTTGCAGTGTCTCTTAGGCATCCATGCCATATAGGTATTAATTTGTCTGCTTGACTGGAGAAAATCTATAGATTAGAGACAAGATAGAGGCAAGTCAGAAATACTTGAACAGCACAGCTCTCCAGATCTCATAGCAATGAAGACTGTTACGAAATGCATCTTGAGCTAGAGAAATGCAGTCGAGCAAGGAACGGCTCCCGTTTCAGCTGCAGATATTTAGAGGTACCAGCACATCCTTAACAGTGCTACGAAACTAGATAACGAGTCAAAACTTGTGTGCCTGTAGGTGTAAAACATGCAGGGGGGCAGCTCTGGCATAGGCATTCATTAAGTATTGCTTATGCCATCTCTAGCCTTCCAAAAGTCAGAACTGTTATTTATTGTCTTGACTCGTTACTGCTTTTCTTTTACTTGAAAACATCTCTATTAACTTTTAATTACTGGTTTGATTGTACTTTTGCATTATAAAGCACGGTGCCACTTTTGAATATATGGGCAGTGAAGGCAGGAGTAGTTAATCTTTTACAGAAAGCATCGACTTCTGTGGTCTGGAAACTCTTCTTAGTATGAAGAACAGCAGAAAATGATATAATGTTCTGAGCAGCGGTGCTGCATCCTTCTGATCTCCTTGTAATGTACCGTGCTCACCGAGTGAGCATTGCTTTCTGTGTTAGTCTTCTGCACTCAGTTAATACTTCAGTTGGTGACAAAGGGCAAAGGAAACCACGTCAGCGTGGTGAAAGTCCATGGTTGGAGGTGAGGATGACAAAGCTTTCCTAATGTAAAGTTTGTGGTGGTTGGTGCAGTGTGAGAAAGTAGGTGCAATCACCAGTCATCTGTATTGAACCCATTGAGCAGGATAACCAGCTGGACAGGTTTGGTGCTGTCTCCTTGCAGCTTCTCCATCCCACATGTTCCTTTCTAATCCTGCTTTCCCACAACTCTCCTTCTCCTTCAGCATCAGGCATACCTCATTTTCCTGTAAGGCAGCCCAGCCCTCAGCCTGTGTTGTGCTGGCACTGTGTCATCTGGCAAGGCAGAGACTGCAACCTGGTGCAAGGGTGAGAAGATCTAATTGTGGGAATAGCTCACTGCAGGAGGCGTGCTGGGCATTCTGCAGTGCCACAGCTCCTTCACTTTGGAAGTACCTTCTGAGCCTTCACCTGCATAGAGAAATCCAGCACTGATTTACCTTGGAGTTTCTTTAGTGAAACCGGATGTTGGAAAGCTAATTACCAGTTATTAGTCCTTATTTTACTTTATTGTTACTACAGCTAAGCCATATTGCAGTTCTCTATTAGTTCTCACTTCTCCTAATACTGATATGCTTCCCCATGTGTAATCTTGCATTTGGAAAACATTTTTAAACTGTTCGTGTCCTTTTCCTTTTTAAAATACCAAATTAGGTTTGTTGTTTTCATCTGGCCGAGCTCCCTGGATAACTTCTTTTAATATGCCAGTTCCCAAGGGAAACCTCTACCTGCAATATGACCTTTTAAGCCTGCGTTTGGGTTTTTTTTCTGTTTCAGGCAGAAAGAAGCCAAGAAATGTCTGCCAATTTAAAGTACCTTTCCTTGGGCATCCTGGTTTTCCAGACCACGAGTTTAGTCTTGACCATGCGTTATTCTCGGACGCTGAAAGAAGAAGGACCTCGTTACTTGTCCTCCACTGCAGTAGTTATTGCTGAACTTCTGAAGATTTTGGCCTGTGTTCTCTTGGTCTACAAAGACAGCAGTATGTGTCAAATTTTGCACCAAGTAGTTTTCCTATCAATATGCTGTATTGTAGTGGCAACTGCAGAGCAGCCATGTGAGTACAGGCGTGAAACACAGCATTTCCCTTCTCGTGTTAGAAATAGTCTTGGAGTGACACTGATCATACCTCATTCTTCAACACAGGGTAAAAGATACTGTCTGTTTGCTCACAAGAGTTAACGTTAAAGAATGTGGATACTGAGGAGTTGAAGAATAAATTTTCTACTAACAGGTTAAAGCTAGTAGTAGAAAAGCAGCAGCTGAGCAGCTGTGTTTGCTCAGGCACTTGAAGAAATTCAGATGTAAAATGAAAAGCTTTAAGGTGTCCAAAGCACGAATGATAGAAAAAAAAGCCCAAAACAAACAGGAGATGCAGAAGGGAGGAAGCAATTTCATTATTACGGGAAGAAATGCAGGTGTAAGCTTGAAAAAAGTATATTCAGATTTACTCTAGTTCTTATTTTGTACATTCTAGACTGAATTTATCTGGTTCCTTGACATATATATTTGATTTTCAACAGCTTAAAAATATCATTGTATATTCATAAATATTGATGGCTTGGCTTCTAAAAGTGCACTTTTTAGATGACATTATCTTGAAATATTGACATGGTTTCGATAAGTTGTACTTAAATTCTTCTGAATAATTGTGCTAGTTGTGATATTCCTGGAAGTCACCTTGCAGCCTTTTCCTCTTACCTATATCTGAGTCTCATGGAAGTTAAACAAACATAGTATTTTGAGGTCTTGATAGCAGTGATAGCTTTAAAGAGGCAACAGTCTCTAAAAGCAGAACATTTATATATGTATATCTTCTCTTGTTTCTTTGGGTAGAGTGCAATGTACGGACTCTGAACAGAGTGCTACATGATGAAATCCTTAATAAACCCATGGAAACCCTTAAACTTGCTATTCCTTCAGGAATTTACACTCTTCAGAATAACTTGCTGTACGTAGCACTGTCGAACCTGGACGCAGCCACATACCAGGTACTGTACCTTCGGATCTCTGTGTACGTTTCAAATCCATCCCTGAATTATGCAGTAGTGACTGTTTCTGGGTTCTTCTAGGTTACGTATCAACTGAAAATTCTTACCACAGCATTGTTTTCTGTGTCCATGTTGAGCAAGAAGTTAGGTGTATACCAGTGGCTTTCATTGGTAATATTGATGACAGGAGTGGCATTTGTTCAGGTAAGTATTAACAGGTAGTTTGAGTTTGTTTAATGTGTTTATTCAAGGAACGTGGATTTCTGTGTTTATTCTACAGCTTTCTCATTCCACCAGCTTCACATGAGCACCAGAGTATGGTCAGGAGCTACGAATCACTACTGGCCAGGGCTAGAGGACACCAGAAATGGTTCAAAGACAGAAGATAACACCTCTTGTGTCACAGTGCTCTGCTGTAGAATGTGACAGGAGCTCTGGAGCAAGCTGCAAATAGCAATGATTGATAGCAGTATTTATTAGCACACTTCTTCAGACATGAGGGACTCACTGATCTGCTGCTGCTCACAGTGTGAGGTGGTTTCAGCATAAATTTGCTGGAACTTTTTCAAGAGGCAGACTTGGCCTCTGCTCTCAAGAGTGCAGGTACAAGAGGTTGTAGTTTTTAGAGGGCAGGATCATGGAATAAGAGACTAAATTCTAAGGATTTCTAAGAATTTTTAGCATATCATAGATTATTTTTTTTAATTAAGGATTTAAAGAATCTGAGGATTACATTTGAGAGACTTTTCAAATTTAATAATTAAAAACGAGCATAAAACATTCTGATAGTAATTAGCAGACTTCAGAATGATTTTTTCTATGGCATTGCATTTTATTCTGTTAGCAGCAGATATATTGCAGGATTTAGCTTCAGAAATTTCAGGTTTAGTCATCTGCATAATCACTGAAGAGGGGCACATGCAAAAGACAACTGGTCCCACCTTGAAGGCAGCTTGTACGTGCTTTTCTACCTGTGCTTATATTTGTAAGGTAACGGGTGGGTTGCAGAAGTTGGTGACTGTGAATGACCCATCACCAGTCATGCTGGGATTGAGAAACAGTTCTGCCTTATAGCACATAAATCCTGGCCCTGTTTGAACTGATGGGTATTCTCCCAGGTCAGGCACCGTTTTACTCCTCACAAACAGGCAGAAAGAAAACTGGTGGCTTTGCAGTCTTTTCTAGGTATTTATGGTGAAAGCACAAACCTTTGCGAGCGTGGGATTGTATTTAGTTGCTAGAAAACAAACTTGCATTTTAGAGGTGCTCCTGACTTGATTTTCCCAGTGACTTTCGTGTAACTGTTTTTACACCCAGTGGCCTTCAGACTCTCAAGCGCCAGCCGCTACGGAGCACTCGGCAGGATCTCAGTTTGTGGGCCTGATGGCAGTTCTCATAGCTTGCTTTTCCAGTGGGTTTGCTGGCGTTTATTTTGAGAAGATCTTAAAGGAAACCAAGCAGTCTGTGTGGATCAGGAACATTCAGCTTGGTAAGTTTGCTGCGGGTCGTCTCTTCCAGGTGCTGCATGCTGCAGAATTAAGATAAAGGTGCAATACGTAGTACTGAGTCTGGCAGAATCTACCACAGAACCAGGAGATGGGGTAGTTTTTTGTAGTTACAGTTGGTCAGACACTGGTATAGTCAAAAATGTCTGAATATCAGCAATATCTTTTCCCTTTTCTTTTCCTGGTGCTGTGTTTTAATTACAAATGGTTTCAGCTAGAAACACAGAACTGCATTTTGATTGTATCTTAATAGTTTTACATGCCCACAGTGATTTGCAAATTGAGGGTAGAGAAGGGGCTCAAAACCTCTAGTTGCTATCTGCGAGTATTTATTGTAGGTAGGGGGTAGGGAATACATCAGGAAAGGTTACGTTAGGGAATTCTGGAGGCAAAGAAGGGTGAGTAGCTGGGGCTTGGTCCAGGATTTAAGGGAAGATTTGGTGCTTTGGGTGGAGCTACAATGTAAAATCCATTGCCAAGGAAAGCTAAAAGTGCTTTGGTGGGCAGCAACGCAGGTATCTGAAACAATTTCCAATTAAACAGTCATAATTGCAAAAAAATCAATTCTTTCCTCAAATATTCTTCAGATTTTTCTGCAGTGCACAGAAGTGTGTATGAAAACAAGTGAGTTCATTGGTTTGATGACCAGTTGGCCTGGTCATATATTGAATGTTCTAGTAGTTGCTTTGTGAAAAACGTGAGATCAGGAGAGACTGCATCTGAACATGAACTACTGAAGGTGATGAGTAACTAGGACTGTGAAAATGAAGCCTGTGCTAACAGTGAGAACCAAGTCACCTGATTTCTAATTCTGTTTTGTCAGTGAGCTTAATTTGCCTCCAGACAAAATTCAGCGGAGTATGTTCCTTATGAAGATTGTTTTCAGTTCAGGAATTAAGGCTGTCATCTTCCATAGCTTTTAGAAAATCTTTAAAACATGAAATCACCATTTCCATACACGTCGGTGTAGCCCTTGTGCAAGTGCACGGTAGTGAGTTGCCCACTTAAGACGTCGTATCATCCAGGAGCAAGTCAGTTGTAAGCAAGAGCTTTGAAACAGAGCTCTTCTTCAAGCACAAACAACAAAACCCATATGTCCAACGTGGTTTTCACTTTCATATCCACAGAGAATTATTAGAACTGTAGAAAACAATGAAAAATATATTTGAATAAATGTTGGAAGATGCAGGTTTTGATGCATCCCAGGCTCAGGTCAGGGAGGGAGGAATAGTTGATTATTTATTTATTTTAGCGGATCGATTGGAAAACAGAAACAATTGGTTTAATCTGAATGAAATCTAAGGTTTTAATTCTGCCTACAAAAATAATTCTTGTTACACACAAGGTTTTATGTTGTTCAGTGTCTGTCAGAAAGAAAAGTGGTGAGAGCAGAGGCCAGCTTTCCATAGAAAAGGAGTGGAAAAACTGCTCCCCCTTTCCTGCTCAGGACTAGAGCCTGCATCAGTCACAGAGGAGGGGTGCGTGTTACTTCCATGCCCAAGGGGGTTAGGAAGAGTTTCCCAGGCGATTAGAGGAACACTATACTCACCATATCAAACACTTTTTAATGTCATCTCTATCTCTTCCTTTGACATTAAGTCTCTGCTAGTGACCGTTCACTGTGTTTGAGACCGTTGAGACTTCATCAGAAGAATCCCACTTCCAAGATCCTTGTCCGAATTGCGAAACTCTTTAATTCCTGCTCTTGCTGTGTCAGTGAATGTGTTCCCTGTTTTGCTCATAGGTTATAGTGTGACCTCAGCCTTCAGTCAGGACTCCTTTCAGGAAAACTGAACTTAGTTTAAGTGAATTTTGCTATATGCCATAAACAAAAATCACCCCATAAATGAGAATATCTGTCTGAACCCTGGTTGCATTTGAACGTGATGGTATCACAAGGGGCAGTCCTGTTTTAAAATCAGAACTACGTGAGCAGTCCTTGAGGACAAGGAACCTGTTTGCATGTTTTTCACCTGAAGCTTTTAAATCAATCTTGTACTTTCAGGATTTTTTGGTAGCATATTTGGACTGATGGGTGTATACATTTATGATGGAGAACAACTGTCAAAGAATGGATTTTTTCAAGGATACAATAAACTTACTTGGGTAGTTGTTGTTCTACAGGTGAGATACCTTGTATCACATGTTTCTGTGGAGGCACTTGGGATTTACTCTCCTGTAAATGACTGGGGAAACTAGTGGGTGTCATTGAAGCTACTGAGAATTCTATAGCCGAAAGTCTGCTCTATCACTATTCGAATAAACCTCTAAATAAAAACCTTGCAAATATATAGCAAGTGCATTACTAAGTATTGTGCAACATCAAAGCATGTAAACTTCATTTCTTTTGCAATGTTTAATAGAAATGATATAAAAAAGCCCTTCCTCCCGTGGCTAAAAGTGCAGAGTACAAGCACTTCCACTGATTTAATGATGGTAACACGATCAACAGTTTCTTTACTGGGGAAAGAACTCCTCCAATGTTTTTCTTTAACAACCCATATCCATAACATAAATGTAGTGCTCCTAAACCTAGACAAAACCCGTTCCTAAAGTAAATGCATGTTGTTAAAACAGATGCTGTGAGTTGAATTCTCAGGTTGCAAATCCAAACATTACTGTTTTTTCCAGGCACTTGGAGGGCTGGTGATTGCTGCTGTTATAAAATATGCAGACAACATTTTAAAGGGATTTGCAACTTCTCTCTCTATTATTCTGTCAACATTGATTTCCTATTTCTGGCTGCAAGATTTTGTCCCTACAAGGTAAGAATTCTTTTCCATGTATGCTGAAAAAAATAAGGTAAAAAACTTAATGCTATAACTGCAAAAATAAGTAAAAGAACCAGTTTGAGCCACGTTTCTAGAATGTTTATAGAATCATAGAATCAGCCAGGTTGGAAAAGACCTTTAAGATCGAGTTCCCAGCACTGACCATGTCCCTGGGGGCCTCGTCTACCCGGTGTGTGAACACTCGGCAGGGGCACTGACTCCAGCACTGCCCTGGGCAGCCTGTTCCAATGCCTGAGCACCCTCTTACACCTTATATACGACTTGCACATAAAAGCTGAGTTTCGTAACGTACCATACGTAATACTTAGTAGGCAAGGTTAAATCTCCTGTAAGATAGAGCCCCCCACAGGTCAGGAATAACTGGTGCTCAGTTCTTGCCTCTTGACAAGCCACTGTGGCAAGCTCTGTCCTTTTCTCTCCTTTTCCTCCCTACCTGACCTCCCTCAGTGTGTTCAGCTCCTACTTTGCTCTCCACGTACATGTCTCTTTGCATACACACATGGAAGTTACACTACAGCAGTTAGTTGCTCAGGGACACTTAAAAGCCAAAGGCAGAGGTTTTATTTGATTTTTCCCCTAAAGACAAGTAAAAAAAAAAATCCATAAAGAATCCCATATTTATTAGTAAAAGAATCCAATATTTATTAGTGAAAACAACTTGACCAAACAAGAAAGGAAAATGGTTGCTGTAGGCTTCTAGGCCCAATACACTGTGTCCAGATGTTGTGTGAGTCAGATTTTAGTAGCTCTGTGCTCTGCAGGTTTTGTACATGGCTGGGTTCCACAGTAGTGTTTGTCTTGGCAGTGCATGTTAATATATGGAGTGCAGAAGTAATATTCCAACCTTCTTTCTCTATTCCAACTAATATTCATAGTTTGCTTATAGTTGACCTACGCTCCTCACATGTTACACATACTCATAGTGTAAAAATATTTTGAATAATATTCACAACTTTATCTGATACAAAAAAACATCTTATCGAAAAGCATTTGCAGTATTAGCAAGACTTTACATAAACGTTCAAAAAAGGAAGTAGAACAACTATTTAGGCTTAAAAAGTGGAAGACGTTGAATTTCAGTTACAAGCAGCCTACACTTGCCCTATTCAAACAAATGTAGAAAGTGGTTTAGGTATTTCTGTGTGCTCAAATGGAAAATAATCAGTAACTTGCCAACTTCTGCAAACACGGTGAAAATGGCCACAGTGGTAAATAATTAAATGAGGTGAAGCCAGCTAGCAGCACGTAGAACTTGAAGCCATCTCATTTAATAAAACTCACTTAAGTTGAGTTAATCAAACTTAATCTTTAGTACCTTGCTTATGCCAACTGAATTTAGTTGAACTGAAACTGCGTAATTGTTTGGGCTTCAACAAACGTCTTTGATCGGGATAATAGATGGAAAGTGCTGAAGTGCTTGGATGTGTTGCAGTGGATCGTGTCCAGAAACAGGCTGACTGTATTCTCTCAAGGATTATCAAGTCATGTGCCATAGTTTTTACAGCGTTTGGTTCAGAAGCTCAAATTGTCAACACTGTCATGTCTTTGTGACAACGCTCTTTTCTAACATGTGTACTGATTGTCTGTTGGCTTTGGGTATTTTGTTTCAGACTTGTAACTATCAAAACAACCCAAAAGGCCTATGTGTCACAATACAAAAGATGCCTTTATTATCTTCTCCTTACATAAATCTTGATGCCTCTGCCAAAAATTAGATTATACTGACTTGCAAACTGCTTCTTGGGCCGCAGTGATTTGTTTTGACATCAGCTTTGGACTTCAAAGCAAACACGACTCCAGCAACATGCTATGTGTAAGATGTTAGGAGATGCAGGGTTGTACTTCTTCAGCTTCTGCTTGCGTTTTGCACAGAGCTTTAGGCAAAAGAAAGGGAAGAAAAGATTGGTCTGATTACTTTTGACAGTGGTTTCATGAAACTGTATTGGTAACGTTCAGAATGTCACTAGAGTGGTACTTTACTTTGTGGATCTAAATGTCTTATTTCAACGTCTCTCTGAATCCTTCTATAACAAATATATGCAGATTGGTTTGTTCTTTATAAATTGGACAAATACAACTTATCCTCTGTGTTCTCACAATGTCCTTTCTTTGATTGTAACACATAAATGAAGTTGCATCAACTGAAACAAGCTAACTTTATCTTTTTTGGGGTTTTTTTTCCCTATCCTTATTCTGTCCAGTGTCTTTTTCTTTGGAGCTGTTCTTGTAATAGCAGCTACTTTCCTATACGGTTATGATCCCAAACCTGCAGGAAATCCCATTAAGGCATAGCACACTTCCTCATCAACCTGCTTCTCGAGATCATGCACTGGGGGCCTTGCTAACAATGGCATGTGGAAAGTGTCATTGTGCACTGCAAGGAGAGGATTCCTACCCTGAAGCTATTGACGAAATGCTTATGAGTAGTTTTGAACAGCCAGAGGGGTTGAAGGTGATGATACTGTCTGTAACGGACGAGAGGAAAAAGAAAAAGGCAGGGGATTTTCCAGTGCAACTTGCTCATAAAAACTTGAACAAAAAGTTTCCAAGAAACTGCAATTAGGAATGTTTACAGCTCGGACTGGGATTGCGTCAAGAGAATTACTGTACTGACTGCTGCAGAAATCCGTCCTATGCACTCTGAAAGAGCACACGACAACGTTGTCAGATTGTCCGGGTCTGCAATTTGACTGTATTTAATCGTAGTAAACATGGGGTTTAACTGTTTGTCTAGTTGCGTGAGATCAGATGAATACACATCGTAGTTCTGAAGTGATGGCTCTAATTAGGTGTTCCCATTAAAACTGTGACGATTGCAGTCCGATCGAAAGACACTTTCGTAAGATCAAATATTTTTATATTTTTAGAAGGCTGATTTAATAACAGAAACGTGTTATTAAATTATAATAATATAATTCTGTTGCTTATATAAAACTCTTGTAAGAATGTTAACATTCAAAGGAAGACATTCAGAGTGAAAGCCGGAAATCTCTGTGGGTACTCCAGCCATCATCTGGATAGCCTCTAGTGTTCCACCAGATGGGAAAACCCTGCTCTGTGAACACAGGCGGGAGGTTCCTGCACTAACCTGGTACTGACAGAGTGCTTGCTCAGAGGTAATGCTCCTTCTTTTTATTGATCATAAATCAACTTCTCCGTAGAACCTTTAAAGTAGATTTTATGCTTTCAATATCCTCGGGGGATTTTTAACCACCATTTAAAACAGAAAGCCCACAAGAAACATTCTGAATGCGTTATTGTTGTCTGTAACAGCTCCATCTGGAGCTATTCTGGTCTATCATCTGTTTACTGTACTGTACTTTTACAGAGGTGTTTTTTAAACAAGTGGTGTTTACTCATGACCTCTCCAAGGCTTTTTCAGTACATTTCTATGTAGTGGCTTAATTAGAGATTATTTTTTTTATTGTTATCATTTTGTTCTGGGAGTCCAACATGAGAGCAAAATGGGTTCTCTGGAGCTATTCAGTTTAGTAGTGGAATTACTTTAATAGGAAACATAATGCAAAAGTAATTAACTGTGCAATAGGTAAATATAAAAGCATGCTGTTCTTCTGTTTTAAACCAAAACCAAACTTCGTAAGGAAACCTAGAAGCAGTCAGAACTTAGATCAATGAGACTGTTACAAACACGTCACTTGTTGAAGTATTTCCATATAACCAGAAACATACACAAAAGAAAGTGAAAAATGAGGGAACTAATAAACAAAAAAAGGTGTCTTAAAAAGCGCTTTTTTTCAGGAGGCCTATTCACAATGGATATTTATGTAGAGAGACTTCTTACCCACACGTAACACTTGTAAAGATACACATTTATACAAACCCCATCCGTAGTCCCTTACCTGTAGAATGGCAAGTGGCACAAATGTACGATTTCCTTCATTTCCCTCTAATGCTCTTTCTGGCTTCTGTCCTGTGCTAATGCACACGTGAAGAGAGAGATGTTTTAAAATGTTAATCAAAGCGTCTCATCCTCTTGTCCACACTTCAGTGGTGGATTGACAAGGAGAGTCTGGAAGAGGGCTCTGAGATTTTTTAATGAAGTACTGTAAATGGGAAAGCAGAAATTCCACTTACATCAGCCAAGTGAAAATAGTGTTTTCCTTCTGTTGGCAGTGACGTGGATTATCAGCTTTTTGGTTGTTTAGCATATCAGAGCAAGACATTAAAGACATTTCAGAGTCAAGGGCTTGCTAAGCTTTGTGAACTGTGAATCTGACCCAGCATGCCAGACCTGCAGTCGAATTGGTAGTCAAAACTATCTTGTATTACCCTAACTTGGCATGCTATGTTAATCTTCAGCCTTTCACCTATAACCCTTAATGGGACAAACCCTTTCAAAAACTAAATGTAGTCATTTTGCCACTAAAATGCAACGTGAAGTAAGAACAGCACAGAGCAGTGGCTCACAGCACTGCTTGCGTAGAATGGGAAGTGCAGAGTAAGTTGGTAGTAATATCTGAATTGGAGCTTGGCTTACATGATGATACTTTAAATTGCATGAATCACAGCAGTGGAAACGTTCAGGTGAGGTCATAGAGTTGGTTACTTCCCCGAGGAATTTCCTCCAGAACCATAAGCAGCAGGTTGAGAACACTTGAAAGCTGGGTGTACAGGAAGGGACCAAGTAGGCCACATAATCATCACATTGCTGGAGCATAACCCAGGTTGAATATTTCTGGTGAACCTGTCAGTATTTGTCAGTAAGGAACAGTTGAAAGGAAAGAATAGGACTACGTGCTCTTTGCTTTTGAATAGGATGTCCTCCAGCTTTGGAAAACACTCTATCTGCTGCACTAAGGAACAGCAACTCCTGTCCATCGATCGGTGACTCTTCTGCGCTTTCAACTGGCAGTTCCATGAAGTTCTTCAGTAGCTCTCTTCATACACTTGTGGCCATAAAGGAAATAGGAATCTGCATTTTCAGCTGTCTTTCCTTAGCCCTTTCCAGCCTAAGATTCTTGTCTGAGGCCCTCCAGGTTGAAAAGCATTATTCTAGACAAAGGGAGGAGACAGTGTATGTTTCTTGAGAACAGAAAAGCTTTGAGGAGGGATCAGGGATTTCTGTGACCTTTGCAATCTGTGAGCATATGCACATTTTCTCTTTGAGATACCTTTGTATCTTAAAACTTTCAGTCTATAGCTCGTAACTAACCAAAGAAGCGTAGCTAGCACAGAGCATCGGGAAGTAGGGGGGGTAGTGTGCTTTGAGTTTGCCCTAAGAGCAATCTGTAGGAATCTAACGTTCCAAAAACAAACCTCCTTTTCTGAGCTGTTTTTCTGACTCTTAGTCAACGGATTCCTTAGTTTAGTTGTATATTTAGGGGGCTAAGCTATACTTGGCAGAATTTTATTTAAATATTTATAAAATTATAGCTAGGTATTTATTTGCAATAACTTGAAGGATGTGATTTTCTTTACGATTTGCATAATGGGAGTACTAGTATTTATTGAGTAATTGGATATTTGGTGGGTTTATTTGAGAATCTCTGGGATACGTAATAAGCGGTCAGATAAACTTAGAATTGTCTTCAGAGTAAATTAAACCAGCAGTTCAATGGTGAAAAATCTTGAGTGTAATATAAAGTAAGACACACTTTTCTTTAAACATTGTATTTCTGTGCTATCCACAAGTGCCCAGGAATCCTTTTTCTTACAGAATTCAGATAATTTTATAGTTCTATTCAGCTTCTTTGCTTTAGAGAAACTACAAGAAACTTCCCTTTCTGTTTGCTTAACAAGGGGTAGATTAATGTTCTAGATCCGGCTTCTACAAGATAACACCTTGGGGGGTTTACTGTAACTTTTCTAAACTATTGTTCTATTTTTCCTCAGAAATATATTTTGGTAGCACGTGCTTGCATTTCAGTTACTCACACAGTCTCCTCTGATTTCTGGAAGTATGTACCCGTTTTCTGTTCCTAACTTATTTTTGTGGCTGTAATTCGAAAGACTGTAATGGATTATGTTGAATTGTTTTAAAATTGATAAATGAAACCTTGCTTTCCCTCTGGATTTTGTTGTCAGTAACTTTCGTATTTTAATGTATTTCCTTACCAGCCACTCGTGTTCTGTTGTATTTAAGCTACCGTCACTTTCCAAATTTAAAGTTGTTGCTCATTTTCCTCCTGTGACAGTTTTTCTTGCTGGATATTGTGAATGAGGGAGATCATTCACTGTTTTCTTCTCAGAAATCCACGCTTTGTAAGAACGAGATACTAAAAAACACGACAGGTTTTTGGATGTATTAGAAAGGTAATGTTTACCTGTAACATGGTATTACACCATATATTATGTGGTAGTGTATCATTACCTCTGGTGCTCAGTTCTTGTAAGGAAGTCCAAGAAGTGTTTCCTTGCCTTTGTGTTCATCGTTCTGTTGATAATGCTGATTATTTTCCACAGGAAGTTATTAAAGAGTTCTGCTCTTTCCAGGTAAGCTCTTTATATGTTTTTAGATACCTAGAATTAAGGTATTTTTACAGAAAAAAATGCAGGGAGAAATGCAACAAAATAAGTGGAAGTTACCATTAATCCAGCTTCTCTTCAGTTGAATTTAGAACTCTTTCTAGAAGCAACACAGCTCTGTCCTGAGGTGTGATTCAGTGCTCATTCTTGAATGTCTGCTGCACGTTTACATCCAAGAGTAGACATGACATGTTTAATTCTTGCCTTCAACCATCCATCACTGTTCTGACTGTAAATTAGCCACATCCATTCCATTGGCAGTGTCCAGCTCAGCTGGAATTGCTCCTGTGCCAAGCATATGTCTACATTTGCTGTCACGAGTTAACACTTTTTTAGCTTTTTAAAAGCTTGGGTTTATTGTCAATATATTTCAAATTTAATTTTACATATATGAGCCCAAATATAAATAATATATTCAAACACTGTAGCAATTTTTAAGGTAGTCCTAGGATTTTATATATGTTGATATTCGTGAATACAGTTCTAATACATGATGTTCCCAGGCAGATTGGAAATAGGTT